AAATAAAGTTCCTCATGTGGTGACCCCCCCAACTATACATTTTTATTTCATTGTTACTTCATAACGGTAATTTTGTTACTGTTATGAATTGTAATGTAAAGACCTGATATGCAGGATATCTGACAGGAGATTCCCTCCCTGTGAAAGGGTTCCGGACCCACAGGTTGAGGACCTCTGCCCTAGAAAGTGGTAGAAAGATTTTCAGATCCAGTGACAGCAACCAGAGCTTGGGGTTGCTGCAGCTTTGTGCCTGAAAGGGGCAGTTTACTGTGTCATCCTGGTGGCCTTGCTTACCCATGCAAGGAGGAGAAGCTGGGATGGAGCCGTTTCCTGGCTAGGGTAACCAAGGTCGTGTGGACAGGCCTTGAGTAAAGCAGAAAGAAATAAGGATGTTACCGGGGTGGTGGACAAAGGCTTTGGTCCAGAAGCTAAGGAGGGGCAGAGGCCTCAGAAGCATGAGCCCAAGGTACCAAGCGAGTGGGGTAAGGGTCCTTGTTCATGTCAGCCAATTTTCTTCCAGTAAGGGAAATCTCTAAATCTTATTTATATTATTATTGTTTTTTTGTTGTTGTTGTTGTTTTAAGGAACACCGCATACTAGGGTTTAAAGGTTTCTCCTCACGGGGTGTGTCCATGAAAGGCCTGGAGCCTGCACACGCGGGTCTGCCTGTGTTTCAAATAGAGGTCTCTCTTGGCAGTTGAAGTCATTTAGCCTGATGTACTTTTTAATTTTTTCCCCCCAACACGTTTGTGTGGAGGTGGATGAGACAGAAAACGCTGTGCTGTGTCTTTAAACAGGGAGGAGCGGCCGGCAGAGCCAGGCTGTAAAAAGGCTAATGCGCTGTAAGAGTAGGAGTTTAATCTAATTTAGTTGGAGGGTGTCTGTCTGCGGTGTTGTTTTTTGGAGTGTGGGAACAGAGGAGGGGAGCTGCCCCCTTGAATGGTCCCTTCTGCGCCAGAAGCAGTGGGGAGCCGGGCGACGCCAGCGATCCAAGGCCCGGCCTTGAAAGAGGATTAAAGCGAGGCTTGATTTGCAATTCACACGAAAGCGCCCCGCGAACCTCTGGTAATATTTCAATCCACATTTCAAGGGAAGTGGCCTTAAAATAGAGGCCTAAATTGTTCTGCAGCGGCCGGGGGACACTCCTTCATGCATTTTATGACGCCGAGAGCCGAGGGCTTTTTCTCTTGGCGCCTCACCACTCCCACCCACCCAGTATCTCAGAACTAGTGTCCTGACATGTAATTAAAACTTGCTCTTAAGTTTGGGGCAACCTGCAGTGCTTTTGTGGTATGAGGTGTGTGTGTGTGTGTGTGTGTGTTTGCGTCTGCTTGTGTATACGTTTGTGCGTGTTAACAAGTATCACCTCGAATAACTTAAAGGTATTTCCTATGAAGAAAACAAAACAAAAAACAAAAACAAGCCACGGGGAGGGAAGTGGTGGGACCAAGCCTCATTGGTTGGAAAACTGAATTCTCTGTGTGTGATGTGTGAGCCCACTCTCCTTCCTTTGAAGCACAGTTTGGAAATGCTGAGATCTCAAGAGTTTTCCAACTGGATCCCTACTAGGATGGTTCTAGAAAAGCCTGTCAAGGCAAAGCTGACAAAGACCAGCTTTGAGGAGCCAGCTCCCGGCTTCGTCTTTGCGCCGGCAGTCGGGATGTTCGCGTCTTTTTATGACCTCGGTTGGTAGCCCACACGTTTACTCTTGCGATTGGCTTGTCACAGGCTGAGCTTCTGGCTTAATTTCTCTTTATTGTGGGAGGCGCAGGAGATTTTTTTTTTTAATCTTAAAGAGATTATTTGGGTTCTCTCTAATCCCATTTCAGAAAACCTCTCAAGAGTTTATGGTTCCCTTCACCCAAGACATACTACGGAAGGATACAGCTGTGATTGCTAGTGAGACCCATGTCAGAACACTTAGGGGAAAAAAAAAACAAACTTCTGACTTTGATAGTTTAAGAATGAAACAGGGCCTTCAACTTCTGCCACCTCCATATTTATTTAGCTCAAGACATTACCTGGCTCCTAAAGAGTATTCCTTGTACTTTCCTTGCTTGATATTCCCAAGGACTTTAAGGTAGTATCTACGGACAGTATTCTGAGATTTTTTTATGTAGATAGACCTATTAGGAGACTTGGGGCCAAAAATACCCTTTGCTTTAGGATGTTATTTAAAATCGTGTTTAATTATGAAGTTTCATTAAAAATCCTTGCTCAAAATTTTAGAAGCCTAATAAGATTTCCATTAATTTAAACATAGCCCTATTCCCAGGCCAGCCCCCAAAGCTTTCTCTTCCCTCTTTTATCCCTGGTTAAATATGTAAATAAAATGTCTAAAGTCGTTCTTCAAAGAAGACAAAAGAAAAAAAGGCTGAGGGGAGAGAGACAGCCATAAAATTCCTCCCAGCTCTCCATAACGCTTGCCAGAGGGGGGCCAGTTTCCGAGCCAGGGCTGAGCAGCAGGGGACCCGGCTGCTCCAGAGTCACACATCTCAAATCCCACACACAGCAGAGAGAAAAATAAAATATCTTTTCAGCTGGAGCCATCAAAAGGGCCCTTTCATATATTAGTTGAGAATTGTCTTCCACTCTCGAAATCTCAGGACCCTTTATATATATATATATATGCATGTATGTATGTATGTATGTATATTTGTTGATTTTTTTCTCTGGGTTGGGCAGAGGGAAGAAATTCTGTTAGCCTCTTCTTAATATATTTATAAAGGGGCTGGCGAGAAGAAAGGAACGTGAAGTGGTCATGGCTAAAATAATAGGTCTGAACACTGCAGAAGTAACCAGAGCATAAAAGACCAATTACGTGGGGCTGTCTCTAATAGCTCACACCCTGCTCCGGAGCTGAGCTCACACTGGTTTCTTCCACGTCCCCCCACCCCCTCAGGAAGGGAAAAAAAAAAAAAAAGAACAGAAGGCAAAAGCCTCAGGAGGGACCCCTGGCAATCCAACCTGTCTTAAAACTAAGCGATTAAGCGATGGCGCAGGAATCTTACCTAACTGAAAACATTTTGAAAACAACTTACTAGACTATAAATATCCAAGCAAGCTATCCTTATACAAGCCGCAAGCTCTCACCACACATCAGGTTTTTCTTGGGTCACTAACACGGAGGTGGGTGGCGGTTCTGACTGCGTTAACCTCAGCCTTCCCGGCCAACTACCCTGGACCCAACTTCCTCCCAGCGCCTCCAGTGAAAGGCAAAGGGACCAGGGGACCCGAAGGTGAGGCAGGAGACTGCCCCCGAGGATCCAGGGGGTCCTATGCACATCAGGTCTGTCCACAATCAGAGGGGGTAGGAAGGAGAACTCCCTGGGTTTCCTGCAGATGGGACGCTGACGCCTCGTTTTAATTAGAAGTCGATCCTCTGGAGGAAGCGCAGGGCTGGGCGGGGAGGCGGGGTCCTGGGCAGTCAGGCTCCTACTCTGGCTGCTGGAGGAAGCTGGCCACCGAGGGATTCCAGTCGTGTGCGCACCTAACTTGGCTCTGGGGTGCTCAGGACTGGCAGAAAGAAGAGCAAGAGGCTTAACTGCCCCTGTGCAGTTGGGGGATTCCGCACTGGAGGTCCTGAGAGTTTCCAAAACACTTCCAACGCCGATCTGGGGCGGGGTGGGGGTGTCTAAGAAGAGAGTAAGGCACCGCCCAAGGGGCTGTTTATCCGAAGTCAAGAGTCCGCGACAGGTGCAGCACCCCCGGACTCTCAGACACCCAGGGTTCGGTGCACTCCCTGTGCGGGGGAAGGAGGTGAAAGCTCTGTGTCTTTATCACAGACTAGCCCAAAACAGAGGGGGCGGGAACCAGCACCGCCAGACCCAGAGAGGCGCCTCCACTCTGCGTGGGAACCAGCGGTGCGCGCGCGTAGACCAGGGCCCAGCCTCCGCCTCCCAGGAAGGCACAGGCCGGTCACATCTCTCGCCAAATAATATAAATACCCGACTTCCTATAATAAATAAACCCAACCGCTTGAAAAAACCACGAGCAGGCCTAGCGCGAGGGCCCCCAACACGGTGGCCTTGGCGGGGCAGGGGTCACCACGATTCAAGTCGAGCCCCTCTTCCCGGGGTGCCGGGTGTCAGCGGCCCGGAAAGTCTCCTCCCCGTCCCCTCCCCTCTTTCTTTGAGAAGACCTTGCAGAAGAGGCCCTAAACTCCGGCTTCCTAGGTCCCCTCCCCCTTCCCTGAGTTCGGCCCTTTTGAAATTTCAAAGACAGCTCCTCCCCGGAGCCCGAGCCCCGCGCCCCGGGCAGCAAACCCCCAGCCTCGGGAAGATGCGGGCAGCTTTACAAGCCGAGGGGCCACTTTATGAGCACGGTCATAAAACGCAAATCCCTTGTCTCTTTGAAAGTGCCCTCCGCTAGGGACCGGTCATAAAAGTAGAAGATGCGTCCCCCAGCCCCGGGTGAGGACCACCCTTACCCGGGTCCCCGTCAGTTCCCAAACTTCCCATAACCTCGGCGTCCTTGGGGTACCGGGATAATCCCCCCCACCCTGGATTGGGAGCGCAGGCTGAGAGGAAGGCAGGAGGTGAAGCGGGAGGCCGGGGTCCAGCTTCGTGCTGGGACTGAGGGCGGAGGCTGCCCCGGGCGCAAGGCTTTCTGATGCAAAGCAGCGCCGGGGCGGGGCCGGGCGGCGGGCAGGGGCGGGGCCTGTCACCAATCAGCCTTTTTTCCCCCTTCCCCCCCTCCCCTTTGCTTCTAACCAAGTCTTCTCATCCCGGGACGCCGCGCTAGAAACAGCTGCCGGCGCCCGGAGGGAGGAGCGCCGGGACCAGGGACTACGGTGCGCCCGCGCTTCCCCACCGCGGTCCCCGAACGCGCGCGCCCGGAAGAGGAGGCCAAAGTTTGCGCGCAGAGCCGCGCTCGCTCCGCCGTATTGTTTGCAAACTTCGCTCCCCTCCCCCCGCCGCCCCCGACTCGGCCGAGGCCGCGCGCCCACCGCAGGGGCCCCGGGCGCCGCGAGCGCTCCGGCCAGGCTGGACGGGCATGCGCGGGGGCCCGAGCCGGGGCGCGGAGCCGCGGGCAGCAGCAGCAGCCCGTGCCCGGGAGCGGCGGCCCTGAGCGGCTCGGGGACTCCGCGGGCGCCACCATGCAGCACCCGGGCCCGTGCCTGTGGCTGTTGCTGCAGGTGATGATGGGCTCTTGCGCGGCCATCAGCTCCATGGACTTGGAGCGCCCTGGAGACGGCAAGTGCCAGCCGGTGGAGATTCCCATGTGTAAGGACATCGGCTACAACACCACCCGCATGCCCAACCTGATGGGCCACGAGAACCAGCGCGAGGCCGCCATCCAACTGCACGAGTTTGCGCCGCTCGTGGAGTACGGCTGCCACAGCCACCTCCGCTTCTTCCTGTGCTCGCTGTATGCGCCCATGTGCACCGAGCAGGTCTCTACGCCCATCCCTGCTTGCCGGGTCATGTGCGAGCAGGCCCGGCTCAAGTGCTCTCCGATCATGGAGCAGTTCAAATTCAAGTGGCCGGACTCATTGGACTGCAGCAAGCTCCCCAACAAGAACGACCCCAACTACCTGTGTATGGAGGCACCCAACAACGGGTCGGACGAACCGACCCGGGGCTCTGGCATGTTCCCTCCGCTCTTCAGGCCCCAGAGGCCCCACAGCGCGCAGGAGCACTCGCTAAAGGACGGAGGTCCCGGGCGCGCAGGCTGTGACAACCCGGGCAAGTTCCACCACGTGGAGAAAAGCGAGTCCTGCGCGCCTCTCTGTACTCCGGGGGTGGATGTGTACTGGAGCCGTGAGGACAAGCGCTTCGCTGTAATCTGGCTGGCCATCTGGTCGGTGCTGTGCTTCTTCTCCAGCGCCTTCACCGTGCTCACCTTCCTCATTGACCCATCGCGCTTCAGGTACCCCGAACGCCCCATCATCTTCCTCTCCATGTGCTACTGCGTCTATTCGGTGGGCTATATCATCCGCCTCTTCGCTGGCGCTGAGAGCATCGCCTGCGACAGGGACAGTGGACAGCTGTATGTTATCCAGGAGGGTCTGGAGAGCACCGGCTGTACCTTAGTCTTTTTGGTACTTTACTACTTCGGCATGGCCAGCTCCTTATGGTGGGTAGTTCTCACCCTCACTTGGTTCCTGGCTGCTGGCAAGAAGTGGGGCCATGAGGCCATTGAAGCCAACAGCAGCTACTTTCACCTGGCAGCCTGGGCCATCCCGGCTGTGAAGACCATCTTGATCCTGGTGATGCGTCGGGTGGCGGGGGATGAGCTCACGGGTGTGTGTTATGTGGGCAGTATGGATGTCAATGCTCTGACTGGCTTCGTGCTGGTCCCGCTGGCTTGTTACCTGGTCATCGGCACTTCCTTCATCCTGTCCGGCTTCGTGGCTTTATTCCACATCCGGAGGGTGATGAAAACGGGTGGGGAGAACACGGATAAGCTGGAGAAACTCATGGTACGCATAGGGGTATTCTCCCTTCTCTACACCGTGCCGGCCACCTGTGTGATTGCCTGCTACTTTTACGAACGCCTGAACATGGACTACTGGAAGATGCTGGCCACCCAGCACAAGTGTAAGATGAACAATCAGACCAAGACCCCTGATTGTCTGATGACCACCTCCATCCCTGCCGTGGAGGTCTTCATGGTCAAAGTGTCCATGCTTCTGGTGGTAGGCATCACCAGCGGGGTGTGGGTCTGGACCTCCAAGACCCTGCAGTCTTGGCAACACGTGTGCAGCCGGGGGCTAAAGAGAAAGACCCGGAGGAAACCAGCCAGTGTGGTCACCAGCGCAGGGATCTACAAAAAAGCTCAGCACCCCCAAAAACCTCACCTTGGGAAGTATGAGCTTCCTGCCCAACCTTCAGCCTGCGTGTGAAGGTGGTTGACTGGGAGAACAGGACAGACAGAACCCAACTGGGCTGCTCTTCTTGGTAGACTGGTTGTTGTTTAAATCAAAGTATATATAGTGAAGTCTACCTTCATTATAATGATAGGCAGAAAGTAAAGGGTCCTATTCTGTCTGCTGCCTCCTTGAAGGGTCACTCATAAACAGAAGGAGCCTCTTGTATGACTAATTGGTGGTAAAGATTCAACCATCCTCTCAAGAACACTTTTGTTTAGGCCTCAAAACACACCTGTGTATACAGGAGGCTTTGCTGCCCGCTTACAAACTTGAGGTCAGATGGCTCCTTTGCAAGCTGAAGAGCTTCCTTGGGGCTAGCCACTGAGCCACCCAAGGACCCACTCTTCCCTCCCCCAGCAAGACTGCTGTATAGGGGCGGGCTGAGGAGGGGGACTAAAGAAGGGACCCTGAGCTATCTATCCATGCACTCCAAGTCTGCAGGCCCCTTACAGAGAGACCCCCACCCCCAGCCTTCATAGTCATCTCTCTCCAACACCCCTCCCAAACAACCTAACACTGGAGAATTCAAATGGTGTGCAATACATTTTTTTACGTTCCCCCTTTCCCCATGAAAATAAAAGAGAAAAAAGTATTTTGTTGTCAATAAAAGACAACAAAAGAAATCATCTAACAAAAGAATTAAGAGGCCCAAGCCTCAGAAAAAAAAAAACCTTCAGCCCGATACATTTTGTGGCTTTTTAATGGAAACCAAGCCAATGTGTTCTACACAGTGGGACTGTTTTGTGGAGGGGAGGGGCGAGGGGGAATCAGGGGAGAGCACCCGAAGGGCTTATTGACTCTCTCAATTGTTAAACAAATGATTTCCATGAGGTCCAGAAGCACTTGGGAAGACAAACTTTGTCTCCAGCCAGGGAGGGCGATGCCTGCCTCTGTATATCTGTAATATATGGTATTTTTCATGCTCCACTATTTTATTAAAAAATAAAAGACATTCTTTAGTTTGCTGCTAGTCACTGTGCATTGATGAATAGGGGGTGTTCTCTGCTTCTGGGCAGATTCTGGGCTGAACATTGCTGGTTACCATGAACCTGGAGACAGGCAAGTTCTCAGGCTGGGTGAGTAAGTCATTCTGGAGTTCAGAGGCGTATGTGCAGGCAGTGGGTAAAATTGGAGGTGGCTCCTGCCAGCAAATATTCATGGATGTTGATTGCTGAACCCTTATGCACCCGGGAACCCTGTGACCCCCGCCCCACCCTCTGCCCCTCCCAGCAGAAAGAAGTCAGCAGAGGACAGGCAGCAGTATTTTCTCGACCCACTGTGTGCACCAGCCTGAGTGGGCCACTTTGCTGCAGCTCTGGGGCCATCAGGTGAGTTTCAGAGCTGGGTAGGTGAAAGTGGCATTAAATGGGGCCACCAGTAACAAGTTCAGAAGCTTGGCCACCTCAAAGCTCCCAGCATCCTTTATGCTCATCACTAAGTCAGTTACAGGGCCTAGTGCATACCCGGGGTCTTCTGTACTAAGGCTTGAACTCTGACCTCAGTAGATCAGAAGCACTTTGAACAATTGGAGTCCTTCTGAGGCAAAGACACCGACTTGATGGCAGCTTTCTGAAGCAGGTGTCTGGAAGGAGTGTCCCCCACTCCAGCAAGATCAGGCTAACAAAGGACTCAGAAGGGTTGTGGAAGTTCCACAGGGTCATGTGTACAAGAAGGGACAGGTGAACTGAGTGGTTTGGGAACGAGTTGTAGAAATCAAAATGCCAGGCAGCTGGGCCATCAGTGAGCATAAAACCCAGAATATGGAATCTTAGAAATGAAACTTCTATGTTGACTATTGTCCTGCCTCCCAGATGGAGACACTGAATTTGTGTGTGTGTGTGTGTATACTGTTGTGGCTACTTGAGCAGGCTTTAAAAGTCCATCCAGAGGAAAGCCAAGGCAAGAACATGGATAAGGCCTTTCTTATTCAGCTGCAAACCTGTTTCACCGTGGCTCCATCCCCGCAGTGACCCAGGGCTCTTGTTCACAAATACCAAGAGAGTTTACTACGAATCCAGGCCAAGTGCTCCTTGCCACAGCCCACAGTGAGAGCAACCCGAGGCTTCTAGTTTGCATGTTTCTTGCACTCTCTTGTCTCTGTCTGTCTCTACCAGCATCTCTCTGTCTCCTGCAGATGAACACTGGGCCAAGGCCAGACCACATAGTGGATTTAAAGAAAAACGTATGCTTAATCGTTAGAAAGCTCAAGCCCATGCACATGTATGGACACACGCATGCACATAAGCATCCCTCGGCACTGTACAAACTTCAGAAAGGAACTGCAGGCTTCACTCCAGGAACACAACATGGCAGATGGATCGGACACAGTTAGAAGTTGCCCAGAGAAGGTGAATGTCAAGGTCACAAGGCACCCACTCAGCCCTCCGCTTTTCTTTTCGATACAGGATTTCTCTGTGTAGCTTTGGAGGCTGTCCTGAAACTCACTCTGTAGACCAGGCTGGCCTCAAACTCAAGAGGTCCTCCTGCCTCTGCCTCCCGAGTGCTGGGATTAAAGGCGTGTGCCACCAACGCCCGGCTGCCTTCGGCTTTTCTTTCACCTGTGGTTGCTCACAGGCTATGGAGGGAGCAGTGACTTCTGGAAACTCCAGCCTGGTAGAGAAGACAGCGGCTCACGTCTCATGAGTTTCAGATATTGGGACGGTGTCGGGGGCAGGGATCCCCGCTGGACTCGGCATAAATGACTGCAGAGTGCAGTGAAGCTGCAGGTCATGCAGAGGGCTCAGGCAGAGTGATGGGTAGAGAATAGAAAAGCCCACCGAGAAAGTGACAGGCAGGACCCGACACCAGCAGAGTGTCTTGTCCAGGCGGTATGGGCCGCAGTGAGAGAATGACCATAGCCCAAGCAGGTGTGATACAGGAAGTGGCCCTCAGTAGATAGGGGGTAGGAAGATACAAGAAACATTACGTGTCTGTATGTCCAACCTTCTGATAAGCAAATTCAAGGTTCAGAGACTTCAGGAGTCCAGCCTCTAGAAGCCACTGTGGTACAGCCCCTAGAAGCCGCTGCCCCAGTGGGCAGCCACAGCTGGAAAGGAAGGGTGGTTCCTATTTCCATATTATTTTAGTTTAGAAGGAGGAAAAGGACAAGCCGACATGAGTAACTGAACCCAGTGAGAGCTAGTGTCTTATAGTTGAAGGTTGAGGGATGCCCTCCTGGTCAGGACTGAATCAGGCTTGTCTCTGCCATGCCCTGGCTTCTAGGGTCAATCAACCAGTGTCCTGATAAGTCTGGGGAGTGTCCTGCCTCAGTCTGTATGGTAGACATGATGATGGTGCATGCTTCATGCTGCCTATACTTGCTGAAGCGTGTGTGTGTGTGTCTGTGTGTGTGTATGCGTGCGCGTGTGCGCACATGAGCATGAGTGCTCATGGATGTGTATACATATGTATGTGGAGGCTGGAGGGGGACATCAGACATCTTCCTCAGTCATCATCCATTTTATTTCCTTTTAAAGATTTATTTTTATTTTCTACATATGGGTGTTTTACCTGCATGTGTGTATGTGCACCATGGGTAGGAGCATGCAGAGCCTGTGGAGGCCAGAAAAGGGTGTCAGATTCCTTAGAACTGAAGCTGCAGATGTTTTGTGAGCCACCATGAGTGTGGGGTCTGAACCCAGGTCCTCTGAGAGAGCAGCCAATGTTCTTAATTGCTGAGCCATCTTTCCTTATTTTTTGAGACAGGGTCTCTCACCAACTGGCTAGAATGGCCTGTATGCTCCGGCAATCCTCCGGCCTCTGCTTCTCTAGCACTGAAATTATGAACACACACTGCTGCACCCCAGTATTGACAGAAGGCTAGGGGTTCACATTCAGAATTCCTCTGAAAGTTCCAGAAGACAGGATATAAGATGGGCACCATCCCCTGTGCAGCCCAGAGCCACAATGGAGAGAGGCCAGGGCTACCAATATGTTCACTGCCCCTCCCCACAGAGAGTCACCCTTACATTGCTAATGGTCTCCAAAGAGAACGAGCTACCCATACAGGAACACTTTTCCGAAGCCAGGCCCAGGATTTCGGAGAATACCCCTCTGATCTTGTAAGTGTTAAAGGCAGCACAGTGGCTTCGCATGGTGAGGGGGGCCTTAGCTCTGTGCCTTTGAACACCTCCACATCACAGCCACCTCCCAGGGACAAGGGCTCTGCGCTGACACCTCCCCACGCAAATGGATGGCTCAGCAGCAGCTTGGAGATGAGAAATGCAGACAGTCTGCAGGGAAGCCCTGGTATGACATGGGGCTGGGGGGTTTCGTGTTTTATTAAGAGTGTGAAGGCCAAGCTGGGGGCAGCAGGGACGGAGGCGTTTGAAATCCAAAAAGAATGAGTTTCCATCAGGTAGGTGAGCTGTTGTAATTGGGGACACCCCTAGGAAAATGGCATGGTTGAATCCCTGGCAGCAGACCCTCGGCAGCCTGTGGGAACTTTCAGAAGTCGTCCTATCCTTTTATTAGGAGACATTTTAATTAAAAAATGGGGATCCCAAGCCTCTCCTTCAGGGGCTTTAGTGTCTATGAAAAGATCCAAAGCTATTCCCCGCCTGGCACCGACCTCTCTCTAAAAGGCAATTTCTTCCGGGGCCCTTTGGAGTAGAGTCCCCAGCCTGAGAACTAGACAGTATCTTAGAAACTATTCTTGGCTTTTAAAAAGACCCCAAAAGCAAGGCAATTCTAGCATTTGTGAAGTTGAGGTAGAAGGGTTGCAAGCTCAAAGTCAGCCTGGACTACATGGGGAGACCCCCGAGAACTTTTATGTTTGGCCTCCTACCTCTGTCCCAAGCACACACATTGTTGGCTAAGTGCAGCATGTCTCACTGGCAACCTGCCGTCCCCTCTGTGGCTCTTCTGAGGCTACTATCAATCTGCCCTGTCAAGCCCCTCTGTCAACAGGGTCCCATGAAGGCTGGCTTGGTCTAAACTCAGAGGCAGAACGCAGGTCACTGGCTTCTCCCTGTTTGGCATGGAGTGAGTCTGTGATTTGGTCTGCTCTTTCGGGGAAACGTGTCTACGTGAACTAGATGCATTGCTGAACGAGCAAAGAAAGGTGAACTGTAAAACTGTAAGAACTGTTCTCCCATAGTCACCTCTGAGAGCCCACTGTTTTCCATCAGTGGAGCCCAGAGTTCTCACGCATTGGGCCTTAGCCCATCTCCCAGGTGAACAAAAGACACTACGGAAAATAGCCCCAGAGGGAGCAAGAGAGTGCGTTGTTTATTCTGAACTCACCTTCGGAGAGCTGCATTCTTTTCAATGAAAAAAATTGTCACAGGCACCCGGGAGAAGGCCCAGTGAGTGAAGAGCTTGCTTTGTAAGTATAAGGAGAGGACCTGAGTTCAGATCCCATGTACAATGCCAAGTGTGGTTATGCCCGTCTGTAATCCTGGTTCTGGGAGGTGGAGACAGGAGGTTTGCTGGGTGACCAGCCTAGCCAAATGGAGATCTCCAGGCTTAATGAGAGACTGTCTCAAAAGAAAAGTAAGATAAAGATATGATTGAAGAACATACTGTGTTAACCTCTGGCCTCCACATGCACTCACACCAGCATGTGCATTACATACATACACAAGTGTACACACACACGTACACACACATGTACATATATCCCCAGGCATTAAACCGATGTCCAAGTAAGATACCCCTATAGCTTAAGGTAAACGCATCTTCCCATCTGGTTATGAAGTGCATCTTTATGGGACACAGGAGGCTGTGGACATGGGGGAGAACGGAACTGTCTTAGTTTTGTTTCCTGTGGCTGCCATAAAATGCCCTGACAAAAGCAACTTGAGGGAGAAGGGTTTATTTGGCTCACAATGCCAGGTTACAGTCCGTCATTGTAGAGAAGTCAAGGAAGGAACTCAAAGCAACTAGTCATAGACATCCATGGTCAAGAGCAGAGGGACATAAATGCATGCATGCTTGGAGACAGAAGGCATTATTACAGGAGTAGAAACC